CTATATTGACAAATTGTTCTGCGCGTTTTTGTCACTTTTTGGAATTTTCTTTGGCAGAAAAGTTGCGTTTTTTTGGCGCTCGATCCTTCTCAAAACTAATATATATTTGCGCCAAAGGCGCCCTTAGAAATTTTTTAGAGTTGCTCGCCGAAAATGGATGTCATAAAGTAATACCAAAGGGGACACCCCTTTGATTCATGAGGGGTTCTGGTTACATGATTAGTTTTTCTTTTACCGCCCAGGAAACTTGACTAGGAAAGTAAGATTACGATGCGTAATTTGATTTACGAAACAAAGTAGCGGACTTTAAATGGATTTACAGCTCGTTAGTTAATTAAAAAGGAATCAAATGGTTATTTTGATGGATTCCGTCTCAAACTTCATTCATCAGAAGACCCTTACAGTATTGTCGACCCCTTTTTTGAGGTAACCTAGTTGGTTAATCGAGCTCTCCCAAAAGACATAAAAGACCGTTTTTTGGCAAAACTTCCCTGTTCTGTCAAAGAAATGGAGGGAGAAAACCAGCCTAAAATGACTTTTTAGTGACTCAGTGTCAAAACTCTGACAGCTGGTACAAGTAATTCTTCTTATTCAAAAATAAAAGAATAAAAAGTTCCCGAGTATAATAATCTCAAAATTAAAACATTAAAATGTGGGAAAGCATTCTCTCCACCGGAGATGATGAACAAATCAAGGTCAAATTATAAAAACCAGTTAGAAAATTCGAATTGAATTGTTGCAAATACAACAATGAATCTGAACATTTCACTCAACAGGAAAATTTTTAGTTTTCTACCTTGCTCTTAATACAGTAATTGATCTTTCTTTTCCCGTCGAGAAGAGTGAATGGGTAATTTTTCAGAAAACGAACTAAAAAAAATTGCACAGGGATCAGCACTGTTGGTATGTGTAGAAATATTATGTATAATGGTTAGAAGCAGGCAAGCAAATTACGGTGGTAGGCTAAATTAGAAATAATCCGACGGAATAAATAAATGGTTGTCTGATATGGAAAAAATGAATAAAATGGCAAAATAGAAACTAAAGCCTTTAATGAGCATGAATGGGGTTGATGAATGTAAAATAAATACTCAAATTGAGGAAAATGTTTTTGAATATGAGTGTTTTGTTTTTGTGCTATCCCTGAAAGAATTCGTTAAACTCAACGTTAAGAAACTCGCTGTCCATTTCAAGGTTGTCATCAAAATCGTCGATAGCCATTCTGAGTGATTGTTTGGTTGAAGAAAGAGAGAGGATGCCTGTTGAAGAGAGTGAGATGACAGCATCCGAATTCGTGTCCTTTGAGTCTCGGTTGCGGGACTGTGATGCAGCACGATCGGGTCCTCTGCAGATCCAGATTGTTGAAATTTTTTATCTACTACATTTGTATACAGCTTTTTATGTCAGCTATCTCGTATGACGAAAAATTCACTGTTTTTTTAGTTGACTCAGCGGAGTAAAATCCGATGGAATGGTCAAAAGTATGCACTCCTGTGTTCTGCTCGCTGTAGGCAATTATTGATTGGGTATGGTCTCAGTGGGGGCTACGCTGATAAGTTCGCTAACCCGTAATAAAACGTTACCTAACCATGTCTCTATGTAGAAAACCTCCGATAATTCATTCCTAATCACTACAATTTGACGTATTCGAAAGAATTAACATGGATTCGTCGCAAGCTAAATAACACGTGTTGTGAATTACTTTCTTTGTGCGTGGAGGTTGTCTTATTGTCGGGTTGCGAGGAGAATTCGAAGCCCTTGTTCTTGTGTTGTTATCCAAATCAGCCAGCTCAATGTCTTTTCTGGTTTTTGGGCCTAATCTTTTGTTTTCCGCGTAGAAGTTAGTTTCTTCTGGTTCATCCGCTTTGTACCTGCTTTGAAAGAAAAGGCATCCTTGACGACGAGGGTTTTGAGGGAGACTGGTAACCCAATTCGTAACCCTTTTCCAGAGAAATGATTATTTCTCGGAATTATTGTAACCTTGTACCCATCCTCAATCCAGTCATCGGTGTTCCAGTCAAATGCTCTCTCCTTGCTCAGTATTGATTTCCTTTGGTTGGTCTTTATGGCCTAGAAATGAGCGAAGTGTTCTCAGATCTTTCATTTCTCACTTTTGGCAAGTTATCGTTTCCAAGGATATTCCTGTTGTGATCGTCGGTTTAAAAAAATATCCATGGGACTATTCGTTTGAACAGATTGGGATCACTGGCCTGCCTGCGATAGTGACGGCGTTGGCGATAAAACCGTAATACAAAAATTTGGTCGTTTGACCCACCGGATAAATATTCAATTAGGGGTCTCGCAGTTTCGACTCATGAAGAACGTTCCTCTTAAGAAAACCTACCGAGCTAACTTAGTCCACTTGTGTTTTCAGATTACTCGATTTTCTCTCCCGAGGCCGATATTCAACAATTTTTTATGTTCTTTTCAATCGTTGTCAAAAATATTATTTACTTTTATTATAAAGTAGCTGTCATTATCCCTTTTTCCGGTTTCTGACAATGCGAGGTTGACGCCATAACATTCTTTAATTACAAGGTCACTATAAAACTCTACTCATTTAAAGTTGAAACAATAAAAAGTTACAGAGTGAAATAAACTCAAAATTGAAAACAGTAAAAAATGAGAACGCATTTTCTCCGCCGGAGATAATGAAATTATCGTGGTCGTATAATAAAGAAAGACCACTTTCGTTTAATTTAAAAACTAGGTAATCTAAAATGAAATAATTCTTTTCAAACGATTAATCACAACACAAAAAATGTCCTTTATGTCCAAGATATCGAAGCTTTCGCTCCCTCAGGATTCTAAGCTATGGTACTTTTACACGACACATGTTTTATCCGAACAGTACTATTTTGCCTAAGGCGCCAAATTTTAATAACTTTGAGGGGACAAAGAAATTGATTGGTCCCGAAAAAGAAATTCTTTGGTCAAAACTTTCAACAACAAGCTCATAAATGGTGTCTGCTGACTTTCTCAGAATATTGCCATCAATGCGGAAATTTTTGCCGAAGTAATGTCTCCTTGGTTTTATTGGAGAGCTTTTTAAAAATCGTGTCGCCGTTCTTTCGCACAAACATTAAACTCGCTCGCGCCTCTGGAACAAATTAATCCCGTAATTTAGTTCCCAAAAGTCATAACTAGAGAAACTCATAATTTTTGCTGCTGCAAGTAGATATCATAAATTTTCACTCTGGTAGTGTAAATAATTCAAAAGCAAAAGGTCACTCAAATCATAATATCACCAGAGGTTTGAACCGCTTAAAGTGGCAACACGGGTCGCGCAAAGTTGCAACATTGCTAAAATGGGTCGCAAAATTGCAACATGAGCCGCGCAAAGTCTAAACATGGATCGAACAAAGTCGCAAAATTTCCGGTCACGCAAAGATGCGCAAAACACTTCGGTCGCTCATAGTCGCAACATACCCATTATGAGTCGCGATGATCGCAATTTACCTTTTTTGAGTCGCGATAAGTCGCGACGTATTTTTTTGGGTCGCACAAAGTAGCGAAATATTTCTTCTGTCGCTCAAAGACGCATCATGCCCACTTTGAGGCCCATTAATTGCAACATAAGTCCCGAAGCTCGGCCTGGGCATTGTCAATTAAATTATATCATCATTAGGTTTTATCAATTTTTATGAAAATCAATCAATTTGTTTAGAAAGAACATTGTTTAGAAAGAAGTTGATTGAGACTCCAAGACAGCAAATTTTTGCCAAGACTCTAAGATGAATGTTGAGATACTTATCTTTAACCTGGCTAATTGGTGCTATTACATATGTCAAGTCTGTATCAAGTTTGTGGAAAGCTTGTTTCAATTTTTGTGCATAGTGGTCGGCTTGTTGAAACTTTAATATTTTTTTTTGGAAAAAAAAGTATTTTTGCTATGTACAGCTGGAAGATTTTTGCTTTTGAAAAATGATTTTAAGTAAGCTACGCTAAATTCAGGCAAATTATTGTCAAAAACAATTAGTCAAATTGAGGTTTAGGATATTAGACGACAAACGAATTAGACGATCAGATCAGAAAAAAAAACGGAATTTAGACGATAACTTGCGTGCAAATTGCTTAAAATTTGTTTAAAAAAGTTAATTTTTTCTAGTTGAGTGAATACTGGTTGTCCAACCAAAAATCAGGATATTAATTACACATTTGTAAAAATTGTAATATCACTGTAATGTCTCAGTTGAGCAAATTAAATTAAATTGATGGAAACTGTCATTTTTGTTGTCAAAAACTGCAATCCAAGTTACCTTATATCTTATTATGAGACAAGTTTTATAGTTGTAAGGAAATTTTTATGCCGGATGTCGACGATTTTGGCGCTATTCAATGCCAAAATTTGTCGAATGATAACCAATTTACTAGGACAAATTATCAGTTTAGATATTCACTGGAACAATATTGCTGTTGTTTACCAAAATCTGTAAAAGAAAACTATGCCTGTCGCAAAAACGTATTTTTCAAATTGCATCTTTTTGATACTATTCGGTTTTAGGCTTTCTTGTTTAGTAATAGTTCGTTTCATTACTAAACCTTTGATTGGCTAAAATCCATTGTTTAAACGATCATCTAAGTTGCTCGCCGCCCAATTTAATTTTCTAGGATTCGTGCCAATACAACGAATAAAAATGGGTTAACTGTTTGCTTAAGTAACTTTATCCAGCACACTAGTTTGAAATCTTACAGCATTATTGACCGGGTCTTTTTACTTTTTCCGCCCAAAATTTTTATTTATTTTTCCTTATGTCAATGTAAAAATGCAAAGAACAAAACACTGATTGCATTGATTTGTTTGGCCATTATATACGCAACAACTATCTAGGTAGATTGCACGGTTGAACCGAATTTTTTTCTTGGAATTTTTGCGATTTGTTTGTCTGTCCAAAACTCAGTAGCTTATTTCAAATAGATTTGTGTAGTTCACCTATCAATCTAATTTTTTGGCTGATTTGGCTTATTAAAATGCCGACTAAAAATTGTGATTAGACCATTTTGAGGTGGCGCTGAAATTTGATTGGCTTACTTTAGCCAATCAGATTGAAGCAAAATAGCTTATGTTCAAGACGTTTAAATAGCAGTTTTTGGGCGGACTAAGTAAAAAGACCCCCTGACCTATAAGAATTAAGCCTATGCGCTGCTCTGATTTAGAAGCAGGAAGCGGAAAAAAATTGAAATTTTGGTAATGTTAAATAATACAAATGAGTGAGGCGACAATTCGTAAGAAGCAACAATTCGTAACAGGGGACAATTGGTTAAAGTATATTAAACGGGGAACACTGATTCACGCGCAAAATTCCTCTCGTGTCGGATGTAAATGCAGTGGAGCGAAGCGGAGCAAGCGTACTCTACTTGCCAATGTCTTGTTACAAATTGTCGCCTGTTACGAATTGTCGTCTGTTATGAAATGTCGCCCTAGCATACAAATGGTAATTTAATACAAATTTAAAACTTCAGGATCTTTTTGAACAAAAAACTGCTCTTTTTGATGGCAAATTAGGGCAAAATTGTATGTTTTTCTCGCTTTTTGCAAATTTAAACTTTGTTAAAAGCAAAAGACTAAGACTAGTAAGAAGGTATCTATTTTTTCCGCTCCCTGCTGAGAATTATCCATATAATAAGTCGAATTTTGCTGCCCGTTTGTAAAGCTTTCTTTAAGCAATCCTGTTGTGCTGTAGTGCCTCGTTATAACTCGGGGGTGGGGCCGGGTGGGCCGAGAAACCCGGTCGAGACGGAGGCGCTCTGGTCTGTACGACTGTGTTCTGTCTGGTTACATATGCGGGAACTCGGCCATTTTGGTTGCCGTAACTCGGAGGTCTCAACTCATCTTCAGTGGTTCCAATTTTAGAGTCGGGCTTTTCTGAACAACCGCAAAATATTAGAACAATAAGACAGAAATAATTGCATTAAATGGTAGTACTTTTGGCCTGAAGTTGCTTATTTTAAAAAATTTTAAATAAGCAAAATTGTAAAGCTAATTTAAAAGAGATTCAATATATAGATAAGCAGATTATATTTTGAGAAGTTGCCTAGCAATAATTTATAGATTTTTTTCTCATTTTTGTGAATATGTTTTGTATATGATTTTTCCAAATTGTTTGGCTATTTCTCCTGAAATCCCTATAATGAACAAAAATGGCCTGCTAGACTTTTGGAACGACTTTGGCCAAAAAGTAGTTGATTTGTTGACGCGCTTTCATGCGTATAGAAGCGTTTCCATTATATATGAGCTGAACATAGAATGCATATGGAATCAAGCGTACAGTTCAACCCCCCTCCCTCCTCGATTTGAAGGGAGGGTATAAAATACTAATTTTTCAGAAATATATTTTGAGGATGAAGTAAATTGATCTAGATAAAAAATAATCGAAATTTTCAAATTGATCGATATTTTAATCGAAAAACATTAATCGATATTTTTTAAAAATTGAATTATTAACAGGATTATCAACGGTAGGTCATTTAGGGAGGAAGGGTTGTACGGTTGATCCGCCATATGTAAACAAAGAAGGAGAAAAAGAAGTCGGGTGTTGTAGTGCTGATGCTGAGGAAAACTGAAGGTACTGACTGCATTTGCACCAGATGAGCGATACGAGTACAAGGACGGCGAGTAGAGTGACGCCTAGACTGATGAGAACCACCAACGCCACATTTCTAAACACACCATCTCAAAAAACGCCATTCGAACTAGTTCATCTATCGTCGAATAGATATCAATCCGGATATAAACTTTTTAGCTTCTAAACACTTTTACGAAGTTATTGTGTTTCACTCAAACTGTTTTCTAGCAGATGATTGAAAACGCCTAAATTTTCCAGACAAGTTCTGGTTTAGTTACTAAATAGTTCCGTGTACGAGTACAGGCAGCAATATGTTGATAAAGCAGGAGACTTAGTTGATGATCTGCAGCTTTTGAAGGCAAAGAAGTCTGCTCGCATCTGGGCGAAGCTTCATTTTCAGTTGCCTATAAAACTCGGATCGGGGAATTGCAATTGGAAAAACAGCTTCTATTTCCTAATGAAAGCTATGAGCAATCAGAGAAGATCAAAATTATATAAACGATTTATTGTTTTTAAAAAAAATCAGCTATTTGAGGTATAATTAAACGACATATTCTATAATATTACTCTGAGCAATTGTTTTAACATAGGGATTCTATAGTTTTTTCCTGTTGAAAAATTTGTTTAATTTTTTAAAGATCATCATATGTTGTGTGCTTCGGGCTCTTCGATTCTTACACTCGCATCGCAAAGTTTTGTTTCGAAGTTTTTTAATGACTATTTACAATTGCTTCAAGTACTATTTTAAATATAGCTTTTGTCGCTACAAAAGCTGAATTATACTTTTTGATTTCTTAATACTTACTTTTTAGGGCAGTTATCAGTTGACTCATAATGCTGGCAGCTATTAGTTTGCTTTGACGTGGGAGATTAGCAAAGCTTTTTTTGTTGTATCTCCCGCGTCAAATATTAGTGTTCAATTTGCTCAAAATTCTTCAATTTGTTAAAAATTCATGATAAAATGCATTCAGCTGTAAAAAAAACTCTTGATTTTGCTTTTACGCGACTCAATCGTTTTTTCAACGTAATCGTTTGTTGGATCTTTTTAAATAATCAACCCATTGAAAAAAAGGTAGAGACTTGTGGAAAGCTCAAAAATGCTTAACAGTTGAATTCGTTTTTTATAGGGGCGGCAATTCGTTTCTAGGCACCCTAGGGGTTAGAAGGAATAGTTAAGGAGTTCTTTAAAAATGTCTCAAATTTTCGTTATGTGTTTTAAGGTTTTGCGACAGTTATTTTTGTGACAGTTATAAAAATTGGGTAAATTACCTGAGGAGAGTAGTACACCAATTGTTAGTAAGGGTAGTTTTAAGGGTTGAGTCAAAGGAGTTCCATGCAGTTGGGCATCAGTTGAGTAAGTACATGAAAAATAATACAATAGTAAATCAGGGATAAAACTAAGGTAAATATAATATCATAAATAGGGATATTATATTACATGGTACGGGGAATACTAGAAGGCGAACGTTAGAAAAGGGGAACTGTTAATAAGGGGGTTATTCAGAAAAGTTGATATTAATCCCGAGTTTTCGTATAAATTGAAACATTGTTTTACCTGAAAGTTTGTCATTTTCTTGTAAGTCATGCTGTTTTTGAAAAGTTGAGAGAAACGAGTGAGTCAGCTTGGCTGTAATGTCAAAAGTCAAGTTGAGAGAAAGGTGACCTTAATTGTTTACAATTAACACCCGCCCACATTTGCAGAGCTTGCAAATAAAGTATTGAATAAAATAGTAAGGATACGGTAAAATACAAAGATAAGGGAACCAGTAGATAAGGGAACCAGAAATTGTTCTTTTTCATCTTCATCTTGGTTTGTCTATCGTTGAGCTGATTGTCTTAGTTGAATTGACGAGTCGTAGATTTGTTCATCTTTGTCGAGTTGATATGTTGAAGGCTGAGTTGCGTGATTATTTGGTTGGTTAGCTATTTGGAGCTTGGTTACTGCGAAACTGGGAAAACGCGGCTCAATTTGACCACAGGTCGAACTTTGAATCCAGTTGGCGTTTTCAGCTTCACTGAGCGGACTATTCCATCTTGTCCAGGAAAGGTTTCCACCACTTTAGCAAGAGGCCACAGTCCACGAGGTGTAAAATCCTCCAACATCCAGACCATGTCGTCGGGTTGCAAATTGGAAGTCGCAGAAGTCCACTTTGATCGTTTCTGCTGACCTGGTAAGTACTCTCGAAGAAAGCGATTCCAGAAGTGATCTGCGAGTAGTTGGGATGCTTTCCATGATTTTGACAGAGATAAATCCTTGTCCTTGAAGATACCAGGCGGTAAATTTGGAGTTCCACGACCAAGAAGGAAATGGTTGGGAGTGAGAGGCAGATCATCTTTGATGTCGTCAGACACATTGGTTAAAGGTCGTGAATTCATGGTTGATTCAATTTCGGTCGTGAAAGTAGCCAGTGTTTCATAGGAGAGTGTTCTTGATCCGATGACTTTGTACAGGGAAAGTTTAAATATCTGAACTAGTCGTTCCCAAGAACCACCAAAATGAGGGGCCGCAGGAGGGTTGAATTTCCATTCGAGTGATACGTCCAGCTGATTGATGCTTTCCACAAATTCTTTGTTCTTTTCCAAGTTGTCTAGACATTTCTTCAGCTCAGAATTGGAGCCCACAAAACTTGTCCCACAATCAGAAACCATTTTCGATGGTTTTCCTCGCCGGGCAAAAAAACGTCTGATACAAAGAAGAGTGCTGTCTGTCGATAGTCCTAATGAGGTTTCAAGATGCACAGCTCTGATCACTAAGCATGTGAACAGTAAAATATACGCTTGGTATTGTTTTCCTTGAAGGATGATGGGAAAAGGTCCAACGTAGTCCAATCCAGTCGTTGCAAAAGGAAAATGATTTTTTGATGGCAGTCGATCAATTGGAAGATCTGACATCTGAGGGTAGTCGACTTGTTGTTGCATTCTTCTGCAGGGTATACAACTGTGTATGATACTTTTCAGCATGACGCGGCAGCGAAGAATCCAGTAGTTTTCCTGTGCTATGGCCATTGCTTGTTCCTTTCCGCAGTGGGAATGTAGAACATGGATGTTAGCTAACAGCAGGCGAACATTGGGGTTTTCACCAGCGAGAATGATTGGATATCTAGCTGATAGCATGATAGGGGCACGCGTGAGACGTCCACGAGAACGCAGGATACCGAAGTTGTCCACAAACGGTGCTAATGTTCGAAGTCTACTTTTGCCTTCAATTGGTTTTTCTTTTTTGATGTCTGAAATTTCAGAGACAAAATCTGTCCTTTGGGCAGTTTTAATTATGAGAAAGTGCGATTTCGTTAGATGCAAGAGTTGAAGATCGACCTTCGACTGTTTGTTGATCTTCCGTTTGAGATTTTCTGCGAATAAGAAGCAGTATGCAACTGTCCGTATTAGTCTTTTCCAGTTGCTGAAGCGTTTGATGTCAAATATAGGCTCAAATTTAGACTCTAATGAAGTAACGAATACAGGGATGTTCTCAAGCCGAATGTTTTCCTGTGAAGGCCATTGAGAAGAATCGTTCAACAGAAATTCCGGTCCTAGTAGCCACCGACAGCTTGAGGTCATTCTAAAGCAATGTATCCTCTGGTACCGTCGTCAGCAGGATTTAGCAGAGTTGGAACGTGAAACCACTGTTCAGGTTTAGAAACGTCTAAAATTTTCTGAAGCCGATTAGCGACGAAAATTTTGTGTCGTATTTCAGGTGTTCGCAGCCAATACAAAACAGTAGTACTGTCAGACCAGAAATAAGTTTTTTCAACTTTGAGGTCAATTTCCTCTGAAACAAAGAGCGATAGTTGGGCAGCATATACTGCAGCTTGCAACTCGAGATTGGGAATTGTAACACGTTTCATAGGAGCGACTCTTGTCTTTCCTATTATAAACTTCAAAGATGTGGAGCCGTCGCTGTAGACTATTCTTAGGTAGCAAACAGCAGCGAGAGCGAATTCTGATGCATCACAAAACGTGTGAAGCTGGATTGAAGCAGGGTTTTCTTTATCAAAGAAGTTCCTTTGGAATGAAACAGTTTCGAAATTTTCCATTTCGTCTACCCAAAGTTTGAAATCGGGAAGTTTATCCGTGTCTAATGGAGTATCCCACTTAACACCTTGTGACCAAACAGATTGGAGAACTTTTCGAATCCGAATTGTCAATGGAGCCACTATTCCGAGTGGGTCAAATAAAGAAGCGGTATACTTCAGGAGTTTCCGTTGCGTAGCAATGCCAATACGTAGAATTTTTACAAACTTTTTGTTATCGATGAAGTAGCAGTCAGTGTTGGTATTCCAGTGAACACCGAGAACTCGTTGATGTTTAGGCGTTGGATCATTAGGGCTGACTAAAATATTTGGATCAATTGAATCCAGGAATGGTTTACTGTTTGAGTTCCACTTATTCAAGTTGAACCCACCTCGAGATAAAGATCCTCGTAGTTGTGTCATTTGTTGGAGGGCTTCTTCTACCGTTGACGAAGTGACAGACAAATCATCCATGTAGATATTCCGTTGAATGATTTCAGAAGCCAGAGGAAAGTCGTTTTTACTGTCTGATGCACATCGTCGTACTGCGTAGCAAGCCACGCATGGTGAGTCTGTGGCACCGAAAATGTGTCGTGTATATTCGTGAGTTTCTAATTTACCATTTTCTTTCCAAAGGTATCTTAGAAAAGGTCTATCCTTTGGGCTGACTAGCACTTGCATAAACATAGCATCTATGTCAGCAGATATTGCTATTTTATTTTGTCGAAAGCGAATTATGAGACCTGTTAAGTTGCACAAAAGATCGGGCCCTTTGAGCAAACTCGAGTTGAGGGATTTACCCTGAAAAATGCTGGAAGCATTTGAGACTCGTCTAACTTTGTCTGGTTTGTTGACATTTGTCACTGGATGATGCGGCAAATACCAAGATTTGATTGCAGTGTCATGTTTTGCATCTATTTTGGTGACAAAGCCTTTTTCTAAGTCAGTGATGACTGTTGCGCGGTATTTCTCCCTTAAATCAGGTTTACTTTTAAGGCGAAATTCGAGGCTGTTGAGTTGCTTTTCAGCTAGCCAACGGTTATTTGGAAGATCAGTATCCTCTTTCCAAAGAAGGTCAATTTGATAGTGACCATCTACTAAAGTACAAGAGTTTTCGAGAATATCGATTGCTCTTTTATCCGATTTGGAGTGCGAGCGTTTTAAAGAAGCGATGCCTGTGTTTTCTATTTTCATCCAGTTGAGAACTTTCTGGTATAATTTTTCATCTAAGTTATTGTGTGAATGAACTTGTGTGAAGTTCACCGGAACAGATGGAACGGAATTATATTGCGTTTTGTTCCGACCTGTGCATGTCCATCCCAAAAGGGTTTCGATAGCCCAGGGAACATTCTTGGGGCCATAAACGGTATTTTTGATCTCATGATATTCTGGATTGTTGTTTCCGATGACTAGCGATATGCTATTGTCGTTTAAGTCCGGGTATTTAACATGCTTTAAATGTGGAAAATTGTTGCACATTGCGTTTAGTTGAAAAATATCAACTGGGGCCAAATTATTTTCATCTACCGTGAGTACGTCATCGAGCGTCATTGGAGTCGATGTGCTTTTGTATGGTCTAATTTGTACATCCACAGATGTAACTTGAACTGACTTGGTCTCATGATATCCAGATATGGGAAGTGAGTGCTTCTTGTTGACGTCCAAGCCTAGTTGAGTTGCCACTGAGTCCAGTAGTAGAGTTACGCAGCTACCACTATCTAAGAAAGCGTAGGTACAAAGTGTTTTATCACCATTTGATAATTCGATTGGTACAAAAGCTGATTGACCTGATCTCTGACAAGCTATTGCGCGATTCACTGCAGCTTTACTAGGGTTTTTTCCATAAGTATCAGAAGGATCGTGGAGTAGAGTGTGGTGTTTTTTACCACAATTATCGGTTCGACAGAGCGATTTCGAATTGCAGTCAGTAAACCTATGATTCCCTAGACAGTTAAAGCATAAGTGCATTTTTCGGGCATGCTCTTTTCGTTGCTTAGGGTCTAAAGCTTTGAAGTGCTCGCATTTGTAGAGAGTCTCCACTAGGACAAGCATTCGAGTTTACATTATTCTGAGCACGAGAGTTTTGTTGATCTCCCTGATGGTTAAAGCGCTGATTTTGATTTCCTACACCATTTGTAGTAAAACCATTGAAACGGGAACCACTAGGGTGTTTAGCGTTTCCAGAAGAATTGTTAAAATTGTTATTGTTTTGGTTTCGGAAACCTGTCGGAGGCATGTCGCGACACGCCTGTGCGTACCGTTGAAACCATTGTGCTAGATGTCTCAAGGAGGGTTGATCGTAGTCTTTGTCGATGACGAAGCGATTCCATTCTAATCTCACAGGGTCGGGAAGCTTTGCCAGAGCAGTGTTCAAGTTTGTTGTAGAACAAATATCGTGAACAAAACCAAGTTGCTCAAAAGTGTCCACTAAAGTTAGGAGAAAAGCAGAAAACTGCATGTATGATTCTGGTTGAGCCAGATTTGGAGGTTTGAAATTTGCAAGACGTTGCAAAAAAGAGTTGACAATTCTATTGGTATTGCCAAAGTTTTCACGAAGACGTTGTAGTGCTAGTTCGTATGTGTCGCCGTTTGCACCATAACCAGCTATCATTAGTTTAGCTGGGCCAGTTACCAATGATTGAAGATGGATCATCTTTTCAGTTGGAGACATATTAGAATTATGAATCGATGATACGAATACACCATACCAGTGCAACCAATAGTTGGGATTGCCATTGAAAATTGTAGGCTTCAGTTTTGGCACTGATCGACTGAATGTAGTAGAAGTGTCGCTTGAATTAGTTGCCAAAGCTCGATTGTTGTTGTTAGGAGGATTTGCAGCACTAGCTTGTTGTGAGCTGTGGTTAGGAACATCACTAGCAAATGGATTTGAAAATGATTGGTCGCCTTGAAATGGCGCCGAAAGGTTGTCGTCAGAGGCAGCTGTTCTTGCATTGCCTTGAGTATTGTTGCTCATGGTTATAAGGTTGTTGTTTGGTATATCCATTATGTTTGCAGTCGGCATGGAGGTTGCGGTTTCCTGTGGGAAAATTGAAGTAGCATTTTCTTGAGCGCTGTTATTTGGAATTGTAGAAGTAGCAGGATTTGATACTTGTTTTTTCAAATATTTTTTCACTTTCATTGAAAATACTCGGATTTTCTGTTTCAACTGTACTGTCCAGTGAGAATGTTCTTCAAAATCGTGTTCAGAACCAGCCTGTAACATTTGATCGTTCAGGGTATCAAGTTTTTGTTGGAATTGAGACAATTCAGTGAACGTTTCATTGATGAGTTCAAGATCATCTTCTTCCTCGTAGATGTTGTTTTCGAGCATGTCGATCAAAGTATTGATCTCCATTTCGTGATGACGTCGAAGCGAAACCAGTTTTTGAACGCCAGTCTCTTGAACGTTTTGATTGGTATCTTGCGTTTGGGTACCATTTTGTTCCGAAGGATCGCTGTCATTGTTTTGCGTCGTTTTATTTCTACCGGATGGGGCCATACCTTGAACCAGGAGACATAAACCAATACCTACCAACTTATACCAGTATATGAATTTACCTTTACCAACCTACCAACTTATACCGAATACCACCGATGCTCGTAAGAAGGAGCGAAATAATGGATAAAGTTTAACCAATTACCACTGTACCTTACCACTTGTACCTACCTCCGAGGGAAAATTGAGCGGTCGTTCAAAGTGTCCTCGGTATTAACAATTAACTGCGATTTTAAAGCTAGTCCAAGAACCTACCTGGTCCTACCAGCCTACCGACCCTACCTACCTACCAATTACCAGTATAAACGGCAAAAAAAACCGGGTGCAAAGATTAGCACCAATGAGTGTTGACCTCCCAGAGGACAACTGAGGATGACGTATTTACCTACCTACCTGTCGCTATTTAGCAGACGACCGAATTGTGATTGCTGACCTCCCAGAGGACAACTAAAGTTGATGTACATGTTCACCTACCTGTCCTAATACCGTAGATTTATCCCTGTGCAATAAAATTTGCACTTATACCAGTTGACCTCCCAGAGGACAACTTGCCTTTATCGCTGTAGCGTAGCGAATGAGACGAACTAGAGTTGTTCGAAGCAGTTGATGAGCTAAACGAAGCTCGAATGTAGCCACGAACCCAGTGAGGCTCGAAGCAGCAGAGGAAATGAGCTCAGGTAAAGCTCGACAGGAAGCAGCCAAGAACCGAGAGGCTCAAAGCAGAAAATAAGGTGAGCTAAGACGAAGCTGGAATGTAGCCACGAACCCAGTGAGGCTCGAAGCAGCAGAGGAAATGAGCTCAGGTAAAGCTCGACAGGAAGCAGCCAAGAACCGAGAGGCTCAAAGCAGAAAATAAGGTGAGCTAAGACGAAGCTCGAATGTAGCCACGAACCCAGTGAGGCTCGAAGCAGCAGAGGAAATGAGCTCAGGTAAAGCTCGACAGGAAGCAGCCAAGAACCGAGAGGCTCAAAGCAGAAAATAAGGTGAGCTAAGACGAAGCTCGAATGTAGCCACGAACCCAGTGAGGCTCGAAGCAGCAGAGGAAATGAGCTCAGGTAAAGCTCGACAGGAAGCAGCCAAGAACCGAGAGGCTCAAAGGAGAAAATAAGGTGAGCTAAGACGAAGCTCGAATGTAGCCACGAACCCAGTGAGGCTCGAAGCAGCAGAGGAAATGAGCTCAGGTAAAGCTCGACAGGAAGCAGCCAAGAACCGAGAGGCTCAAAGGAGAAAATAAGGTGAGCTAAGACGAAGCTGGAATGTAGCCACGAACCCAGTGAGGCTCGAAGCAGCAGAGGAAATGAGCTCAGGTAAAGCTCGACGGGAAGCAGCCAAGAACCGAGAGGCTCAAAGCAGAAAATAAGGTGAGCTAAGACGAAGCTCGAATGTAGCCACGAACCCAGTGAGGCTCGAAGCAAGCGGAATAAGTGAGCTCAGATAAAGCTCAAACAAATGTCATGTCGAAGATCAATGACGAAAATTGAGAGTCCAAAAAGAACTCGAATCAGGTAACCAAGGAGTCGGGCAATAAGAAAGCAAAAGTGTCAGAAAACACTTGAAGGAAGGAAGCAATGAAGGAAGCAAAGGGCCAAGAAAGGCTCGGAAGGAATATACAAGGCGTCAGATAAGACTCGGAAGGAATGAATGAATGAGTAGGGAAAGTCTCGGAAACGAACAACAAATGGGTCGAGAAAGACTCGGAAAGGAATGAAACATTGAGTCAGAAAAGACTCGGAAAGGAACGCAAAAGGCAATAAAGACTCTGAACGGAATGAAAAATGAGTCGGGAAAACTGAAGTTTTTTTTCATAAATGAGTCACAAAAGACTCGGAATAGCAAAGCAACAAAAAACGAATTGAAAGGGGAAAATTGATGAAAATAACTTAATACATTATTCAAAGTAAATGAAGCTATGATCAATTGAAACGTTTAAAGTTTACATGGGTTAGAAATCAAGAGCAATAATTGATATTAAGCCAATATATAAATTGGGTAAATTACCTGAGGAGAGTAGTACACCAATTGTTAGTAAGGGTAGTTTTAAGGGTTGAGTCAAAGGAGTTCCATGCAGTTGGGCATCAGTTGAGTAAGTACATGAAAAATAATACAATAGTAAATCAGGGATAAAACTAAGGTAAATATAATATCATAAATAGGGATATTATATTACATGGTACGGGGAATACTAGAAGGCGAACGTTAGAAAAGGGGAACTGTTAATAAGGGGGTTATTCAGAAAAGTTGATATTAATCCCGAGTTTTCGTATAAATTGAAACATTGTTTTACCTGAAAGTTTGTCATTTTCTTGTAAGTCATGCTGTTTTTGAAAAGTTGAGAGAAACGAGTGAGTCAGCTTGGCTGTAATGTCAAAAGTCAAGTTGAGAGAAAGGTGACCTTAATTGTTTACAATTAACAACAGTAACTTCAATGATCAGAAATGCAAAACAACAAAAATTAAATCCATTAGCTTTTATACTATTAAGTGCTCGAAATAGATCAAAACAAAGGGATAGTAAACTTCAAAATCATTCCTTCAAAAAAGTGGCCTCTAAAATCTTCTTACTAAAAACAATTCCAGATATCAAAATTAACAAAAACTGAAAATTGAATGTCTTCTATTTTGGCTGTTTTTTGTTTTACTTGGAGTCTAAAACTGCTTCAGTACATAATACTTGAAATTTTTCTTCAAAAAAGCCCATTTTAGTTTTCATTTAGATCAAAAATTTGCAAGGAAGCTCATTCTGACGCATTTCATTTAGTTCACTGCTTCACCTATGTTTTTGTTGTCATTAAGTTTTTGCAAAAAACTGCGAATTGGGATCTTCCATGTTCTTTTTGCATTGTTGTGAAACTTTTATGAAAATTGCTTACGTAAACAATGTTAGATTTTTTTGTGACAATAAAATCAAAAAATAGAAATGAGAAGCAGCAAAAATGTGAGCAATTAAAATTTGATTACTGTAAAGTGTTTTAAGTAAAAACAGTGAAAACAAATTTCAAAATCATTGTTTTCAAAAACATCGTTGAGGGTTAATTCTTTTTAGTGAAGACATGTTCAGGCACAAAAATCATCGAAAATTGAAAATTGAGTTTAAAATATTGTTGTTTGGCTGTCTTTAGTTTTCTTTGGGCTTTAAATTGGTTTTGTATTGCAAACTTGATTGCAAGTTTTTTTGTTATGTCAAGATTTTGCGAATATGCTCATTCTGCGGCTTTCCAAAAATCACATTTTCAATGATAATTTTTTTCTTAATATTGTTCCGACTATTTTCAAAAAAAATTGACCAAATGTTTGGACGCGGGTGTGTTTCTCCAGACACATTTTTAACTATTATTTTTTGACGATAGTAGATATGCAACAGAATGTTTACGAACAAATCGAGACATGCAGTGCCAATAAATGAACAAAATGTGAGATGCAATTTAAGCTATTGCTTATCAAGTATGAAACACAATTGAAAAGTTTGAACCATTTACCTGCATTTGAAGAAATGTTCACGCTCGCTCGTGAATTTTACTTTCTAATTTGTTTTGGTTGCTTGTTCTAGGCAAGATATTGCCCTACTGTTTCAATTTCACATTTGAAAAACTATAGCAAAATTTGAAACACAAGAGCAGTTTTTAAATATTGCACTAGTACTTCAAATATTGCGCTACTTTTCAAATTTTGCACTAGTGTTTCAAATATCGACTAGTTTTCAAAAATGGCACGGAAACATACTGAACACGTGTTTTACTCCGTCTTAGAAATTGTTCCAAATTGGGTTGCGGCGAGCGCTTCTGACTATTTAATACTTTGCATTAAGCAAAGTCTATCCCTTGGTATTTTACGCACCGTGAAGGGCGAATTTTTGTGCTGGGTGAATTCTTAAATTTTTTCTTTCTTTTCGAAAATTTTATCACATATTTTAATTTGAACTACTTTATAGAAATTCAAATGCAGTCACAACATTCGGGCTTTTGCCCTGATACGAGCAATCTTGTCTTTCAACTGTCTATTTTATCTAGTAAAATCTCCTAAATTGATAAATAACAGTTTTTTTAATGAGTTAGCGTCAAAAATTGTTTTGTTCTTAGGTACGAACTAAATACTATTTTTGTTCCACATTTCGAAAGAGCAAAACATTTATGCTTGGGTTGTTTTTTTTTCCAATCATTTTTCAAGTTTTAAACAAAGCGTTTTTGACGGAATTTTTGACAGAGCACCATCTGAAAGGTATTGTTTTCCTGAGCTCAAAATTAAAAAAGATATTTCACCTGCGATCAGTTTTTGTGAAGTTATGGGGGTTTGAGAATTGCT